GAGCAAGATGCGTGCTTCATTGAAACTACCTCTGCGGTAACAGGCGGTGACTTGTTTGGACAAAACCAATAACTTCATCTCGCATGCTTGACATTTTCTCTGAAGAATTTGACACTCTCTCGAAAAGGCATCCCAATCACCTTTATTAATTAATTTCCTTAATTTTTCACCTTTAACAGTGAAAGTCTTCCGAGCCTCACGTGAGCTCCATGTAATACGTTGAACTGAAGACGGAATTTCTTCCCCACTACGCAACCAACCTGTATGTAATACTCTTCTTTTCCAAGTGGCGAACGACATCTTTTTTACTTTTCCCTCCACCATTTCATAACATTCTGGTTCCTCGGTGAACACACCACCCAGACAAGGAGCGATGTAGATCACGACCACAAAGGTTGACGGGATAGGTTTGGAGTTTTCATCTACCACTGGCTGGAAGAATATCTCCCAGTGTACCCCTCGTTTTGGTTGACCAACCTGCTCAGGCCAGATCATCTTGTTGATGGCTTTCTCAACTTTCTTTGTTATTTCACCAATATCCTCCTCATTGGAAATCAATTCTCCTTCGACAATTCCAGCATCTCTGATACCATAGTAAATATGACCTCCGTTATAGTTGGGAAAAGCGGAAACATAGCAACTGAATTTATTACCTTTACCAGTCATACGATCTGCTAGTCTGGTGCGTTTTGATGGACCTGCTTTTATATTCTTGAACTGAACAGTTTTTGTCTCATGTAAGCCAGAATTTGTATCTTTAACAAATTTTTTACAATGAGAACCATACTGGACTGGTTCCTGAACGACTTTTCTGTCGATAATATCGTGCTTGACTTTCTCTAGTGGTTCCCAAGGAAATACCTGTACAACTTGTGATTGACTCGGTAAATAAAGGTTATAATTAGTTGTAATTAAAGAATTAGATTTTTCAACTAAAATGACTATGCTTTCTTTATCTTCTTTGAAATTTATATTCGAGACGGTCTGATTCAATCCAATGATAGAAATCATAGATTGTTCCAATATTCGAACCACCAAGGGCATTTGAGAAGATTTGCATTTCTCGCAGTCGCACTCGTTATGTAACACAACATTTCCACCATCGCTGTTTAACATGGCACAGATAGCAATTATTATTTCAGTTAATTTTTGTTCTTTGTACTTTTTATTAGCCGGAGTGCTTTCAAATCTACATAAGGACATGACGTGTACAGTCTCAGTAGTCTTATCAACACGACCGTCCATCGTTGTTTGTAAAGTATAACGTCGCTGTTTCTGCCGAATCACAAAAAGTAAAATCCCTATAGAAAAGATAGAGTAGCAGACAAATAAGAGCCTATCGAAGATACTAGCTGGGTTTTTTTTTAGTTTTACGAAATACGTGGCCGAACCGTCAAAACAAAACACATTTTCATTAAAAAGTTTTGACTTCTGTTGTGCCATTCAAATAAGTGTGCAAGTTATTTATTTCGCATGTGTTTCTTGCATGCATAAAATGACCATGAATTTTTTTCAAGTATTAATTTCGCGAATTTAAAAAAACCACACGAATAAAAAACCTCGCGAAATTAAATATCTATAGTGATAAATATGTACCACTCATATATTATCGACATATGGTCTATATGTTTATCGCAGTAATTTTATCCGTCTGAATGCAAATTTAAGACGATTTTCTTCTCTTAATTTGATCCCAATCCCCAACTTTAACCCCGACTCTAACCTCTAACCCTAATCTAATTTTAATCTCACCCTAATCTAAATCTGCACGTCCAGCCTCCCATGTTAAGAAATAGTTTATTTTTAACAAAAAAACTAAAAATTTTATCCATAAAAGTTTAAAACGTTTTACTGTAAACAAGTTATAATTATTTGAGAAAAAATTGGGGTTAGACCAAATATAAAAATCCAACATTACCAAATAACGACCACGTTTGATTTTTAAAAAAAATAGTTGTATTGTAAAAATCTCAGACTGGGTCTTTTAATTAAGAGTAGGGTAATTTACGTTTAGGTCAGGCTATGCGAGCAATGTTGGCAAATGGCCGAATCCCTTCATCAGTCACCCCAAATACTAACCAAAATAAATAAAGTTCAAAGCTTTGAGGGAGTCAGTTGTAATGCAAAACGAAATTTCTCACACTGCTGAGACAGCTGAGATCACGCAACAAAAAACGTATGTATTAACATAAAGTGATAAAGTCATAATACATAAAGTTATATATTACTACAGAAACCAAATATCCAATCCCGTTTACATGTGTGGCTCCTCTACCTGTCCCTTGGTACAGGTAATCCCCCCAAAGTGAGATTCGTTATTACAAAACAGGCAAGTGGCCGCTGTTGATTTGTTACTCAACTCGTTCCACGCCCACAAGAACGAGATCTTGTCTTTTGGCGAGCATCGAGGTAAGTCAGTATTACTAGAATCGAGTAACATTGATAAAGATGACTCCGGTTGGGTAAAAACACTTCTTAATCTTAGCCAAGAAATAGGATAAATTAAGTAAAATATCTAAAATACTTATAAGGATCGACATGGTCCAATGGCGATATAGCTAACCATGTGTCTACTGAATTTATAAAGTGAGGGACTGCTCATTATTTATTGTACAGGGGGAGACTGAGTAGAAACTCTACAGTTATAATATTTTTTCGTTTCCCCCCCTCTTAAGATCTTATCTTTATTTAGAGAAACAAAAACTCTAGCTCTTTATTTAGAGAAACAAAAATAGATAATGGGAACCAATAGACTATTCCCATTTTAGATTAATTTTTTATCTTAGCAAAAAAAGTATATTCCCTGGAAGGGCATACTAAGATAAGTAAAATTGCAAAGTTTGGTTGCGAAATGCTGTAGAATGTAGAAAATATAGCCTTCCAAAATTTGCAAATTTTGTATACTTTTGAATTGCAATTTTCGCATGCAATACAAAAGTATACAAAATTTGCAAACTTTGCAAGGCTATATTTTCCGTATTTTACAACATTTTGCAACCAAACTTTGCAATAATATTATTGCAAAGTTTGGTTGCAAAATGTTGTAAAATACTTATTTTAGTATGCTCTTTCTAGCTGTGGTGATTTATTTGCATCAAGGCCGGATTTTGAGGGGAGGCATGGCGAGGTGCGCACCTCCCCTGAGATCGTTTTGCACCTCCCCTGAGAATTTTTGCACCTCTCCTGAAAGGTCATGCACCTCCCCTTGGGAATGTTTCAATGATGGAACAAAGTGAAAATGTGATGGTTGCTTAGGATCAGTGTTAAGTACCCTTTAAATGCAATGTTTTGATAGAAACTTTGTAGCAATTGTATAATGAAGGGCAAGATTGGAGTCATACAGTCATGATTCATTAATACACTGGTACATATGTACACTACATGCATACCTCACCTCGTTGATATTGGCCTGTTCTACAATAACCTAACTTTCCATGGGAGTTGTCAGCTAGACCGCTGCACCTCCCCTAAAATTTTTTCCGCCTCCCCCACTATTTTCACCAAAATCCGGCCTTGATTTGCATCTCTTTGCCTAGTTTTAAAATTAGTCTATAATGGGAATTGTCTATTGTTAATGTTAACATAAGAGACTTTTTATTTGGCTTCCATTTATGAATATTAAAGGTCTATAAACATTGTTATTTGTTGTTTTGTGATAATTTTTAAAACTACTGTAATGTTTTTTCAAACTGGTAAATCTTTTCAAAGCCCCCCTTCTTTCGTCTCTCTGTATTTTTTCAAAGCCCCCCTTTTAGGTTTTAAAACATTTAAAGCCCCCCCCCCCAGTTTCTCC